GAGCCAGAACATCTTAGCTGTGAGTGTAATCCTCTATTAAAGCCAGTGATTTTTAGCTAGGATCGCCACTTTCTTCTCTTTTCTCCTGTTTGCACTAATGCCTCCACACCAGTGGACTGTGCACCTTGGTGGATGTAGCTTCATTATCCCAAGGGAGAGCACATGGCACTATATAGGGTTGCAAAAGGCATTTTGTTGGATTCAGGAGCTGTGATTTTCCTACAGGTGAGGGAAAAAGAGGTCCTGACTTTAAAAATTTATCCCTGTGGTAGCCTCAGAAGATCCAAACTGAGCTGAGGTGCTTGCAGCTAGGACCAGGGTCTGGGTTGTTCATTCATTAGGGGGAGCTGAAAAGAGAAACCTTTAAAAATGCACCAAGCCCCACCCCAGGAAAGCAGGGAATGAAGAGAACAAGCACACCGACAGCAGAGGAATAGGAATTCCTGGCAATAGGAAGCGCTTCTGATTTTCTCTTTCTTCCATTCTTTTGCCAGTTTGAGTTATGAAGCATTTGGTGCGAGCCTAGCTAGCCCTGCACTTGCTGAACTTATCGAGGTTATTTCATCTCCCCATGACCTCTCCGTATTTACGATGGGAACCCTGGAGGCATTGGCTTTGCTTAACTGGTGTATCTTACACTGCAGTTAAGCTGGACCTTAACTGATTACAGCCCTTGATTGATCAGAGAAAGAGGGAGGGGAAGAGAAAGAGGAGTACTAGAGCAGATACGCAGGACTATCAGTGCACCGAGCAGCTTCGCCTGGGGCTGGGATATGCCACTCGGGGGATTCTTTGTAGTGCAGCTCCTTTCACATTTATAGAGGCTCCCCTCCACTCTCCAAAAAGAGAGAGACACAGAGAGAAAAGCAGGCAAGGGGGGAGCGTGGAGCGGACTCAAAGGATCTCAGGAAATCTTGTTTCGAAGCAGTAAGTCAGCACCCGCACTCCATTACCAGTGTCCGCGGGGGGTTGTGATAGTGAGCGAGCACAGATCAGCTTAGCTGAGAAATGTGAAAAAAGAAAAAAAGATAAAATGAGGGAGAGAAATGGAAAGGGAGGAGGGGGAGAGGAGACCTTTCTATGAATTTTGGTTTGCCTTTGTTAGTCTCTGCTGGCATAGGGCTGCTGAAGAGAGAAATTACAGAAGTTTATAAAACAGTTTTAATTTGCTGGGACCTCGCTGTGCTGCGTGATCTCCTCACCTTGCCATTACGCGTATCAGACAGATGCACAGCAATAGATTTAGGGCTAATTTAGCAGGAAACCTTTGTGGTTTTTTGTTTATTTCTTGGGATTCTGAATCTCTCACCAAGCCCTTTTTGTTCCCTGCCTGCCATCAGCATGTCTGACCTTACCCAAAAATGGATGAATAGGTGCAGAATAAAAACCACAAGTGATCACCAATCCAGCCTATTTCCACAGCTAAACCTAACCCAAGTCCTTCTGCCAGTTTGGAAATGTTTAGGAATTGCAGTTTTCCATGGTTGTGCCAGATAATTTTTTAAGTTCCAAAATGCCATAAGCAAGGTTTATCTTCCTGCAATTAAAACCCTGCGTAAAGTTGCCCAGAGATGCTCCTTATCTCAACAAGGGGAATTTTTCCATGGAAACTTTCCTTTCCTGTATATTCACTTGGCCTTCACAGAGAAACGTGTTCACAGGGAAAACAGCATCGGGGCAGAGTTTGGTTGTGGTGGCTTCTGTTAGTGCAGTCTACTGCCTGGAAATAAAGGCAGGGTAGCTCGGTTTGCCAACCAGCACATTTGGGAAGCATTGGCCTTCTTTTCTTTTCTTTTTTTTCTGTATAAAATGTTTTAGCAATTCCAATTTAATCAGGAAAAACACCTCCCGCTTAGGTATCACAAGGTGAATAATGGTGTTGGTGGTCAGTAAAGCACAAACTGCCCATTTTCTGAGGGGAGATACTCAGCAGTGCATGAAAATCAGACCCCTTTGACAGTTTCAACATGGCAAGGCACCAGTTAGCCTTTTGCCTTGAGTCTCTGCCGTTTCTGGAAGGGGTGAGTCCACATCTCTTGATTTTGCTTGTTAGTAAAATTGTTACTCGTAGAACTGGGACCCCCCTTTACCTTAAACAGCCCCCACTAGCATGGCATGTCTCTTTGTTTCCTCTCTGGTTATTTAGACTACTAAAAGCTTTGCCGTCTGCTTTTGTCTAAGTGATAGTAGAGTTTGGTGCCCTAACATCAGGGATAGTGGCTCATGTTCCTAGATCAAGCAGTTTTTAATGTAATTCCCATTCACAGTGATGTCTCCCCCGCCACTCCCCACCAAATTACGGATGTGTAACACTATGGTGCTTCTGATTTCCTTACGGTATTTCCACTGCCAGAATAGCCCACTTCTCTTTCCCAGACCATCCAGATTTAAGCAATTTCTCTTACCATTATAGCTAAGACCTTCCCATTCTTTTGTAGAGCTTAGAAACTTTTCTTTAGACCTTCTCCATAATTTGTACATCTCTACAGAAGCAGGGTGCCCAAAACAAGATGCAGTGCTCCAGGTGGAACCTCACCATAGCCTTGAACAATCAGGTAATAACTTCCCATCGCCTTTTTATTTCTAATCCTCCCCTTGTGCAGCCTGCATTGGTCTGCTTTGCTGCAGCTCACCATTGCATCCCCAGCTCCATCTCATCCCCAGCATCTCCCCGAGCCCTCTCCATCATGAGTGTGTGGCAGTTTCTCATCCATTAAGTGAACAGGGTCATTTTAGGACACAAATGCTCATCTCCATTTCACTCGCTGTGTCCTAGACCACTCCTCTATGGTGCTGACACATCCTTCAGATGTTCCAAGTCACTGAAAGGCATTGATGATATTTCTGGGTTTATTGTTCGCTGCCAAACAGTACCACTGCTCAAGCACAGGCCCACAGTAACCCTTGCTAACCCCTTTGAAGGGATCTGGTATGATCTGTCCTAAACACACCAGAAAGGATTCAGGCACATTGCGTTCTGTTCCCAGCTTTCCTTCTGACACACTTTGCGTGGCCTTGGGAAAGGCATTTCACCGCCCTCCACCTATTTTCCAATGGAGTGGGGAAGGTTAGGAAAATGAAACATTAGTTACCACTATATGGCAGCAGCCACGTCAACACTGGAGTCCTGCTGTAGCAGGAAAGACTTGTGAGACTGTGTTAGCTCGTATTTGTAACACTGCTCTGATAATGTTGGATGGATTATAAATACCTAGCTAGATAAGACAGTGGAGCATCAGTGTGAAGAGTGAAGTCACCTGCTCATTTGTGCCAGTGTGTGTCAGGACTGTGCTTGAAGTCAGTGACGTTACCCTTAAAGAAGACTAATGTGAAGTTTGCTCCCCAAAATTTAGTTGGAAGTGACATTGGAAGGGATGGAAGGGACTGCAGATGGAAAGGACTGCAGATGGAAAGACTGCAGATGGAAGGGACTGCAGTTACCCAGATCAGACATTTTCCAGGTGCAAGAAGCGTGAAGCACTGTCTAGATCCTTGGTTTGATTGCAAAAACAAACTTAAGGGGTGTCCTTACTGGATTGGTTTGGCATATTGGGATACAATTCAGCTGGGCCTAGTGATTTAGAAAATATTCAAAATTAATTGCTTGGTTTTGTGAGTGCAGTGTTAGTGATTGCTACATAAGTCATTTTAGTCCTACCTAGGGGCATATTTGCATATATTTATCCTCCTTTCAAGTGAAGATCTTTGGGGAAACTGTATTTATCTCCTCCCAACTCTTTCTTCGGCTTTCAGTAGTCCTACGGTCACCTCTTCATTTTGTTTTCATTTAATGTATGTATAGAATAATCGACTCTTCCTCTTCCCACCAAGTGAAAATGAATCCACAGAGATCAAAAAGCATTAATATGAGAAAGGGTTGCCTTCTGCAAGAGAAAAGATTAGCTGAATGGGCTGCAAAATAAAGATGGAAAAGATTAAGCTGGGTCCCCACCAAGTAGTGAGAACAGTCTTCGAGGACAGAGCATGACCTACCCAGGGCAGAAGCTGAATCTACCAAAAATGGCAGAGAGACCAAGCTCTCATGAAGAAGCTCAGAGCAAACCATTGGCTTGGTCCATGTCATTAGTGACACCATAAGGTCCAGCATGGCCACCAGATCCCTGTTCCCTAGGAAGCGGTGTAAATTTTGACACCACAGGAGCTGAAACAAAGAGGGATTTCAGCTTAGAAACCGACTCTTCACAAGACAATTTCCCAGTGCTTTTTGCCTGATGTAATATCAGATGTTCCAACCGATCACATTTCCCAAAGCGAGAGGATTTCTACCCATTCTTAGGAAAGCAGTACCACAGCCTCAGAAATGCTACCCACTGTCAGGAAACCCTTCCTCTGGTTTCCCCTTTTCCATTTCTGCCTGGTATCCAGTTTGCAGCCCTTTGGGACCACCCGGCAGCTTCTCTGGAGTTAACACCCTCCAACTCGTTGCAGATCATTACGTCTTCCCTTTATTCAGAACTTAGCCAGGCTCAGCAGTTTCTAAATGCAGCGTTTTTTCTACGGCAGCCTCTGATTTTGGACGCTTTGCGCTGTGTCAAATCGGGTGCCCAGAAGTGGAGACACCACAGAATCAAGGGTCACTCTGGAAAATGCTGTCCGCAGGCAGCTCCATCGCTTCGTGTGCTTGGGTTTGCTCTCCTTAGACCACGTCTCTGTTTTCCTGGGTGAGGGGCAGTGTAGCATCACCGAGTGGAACTATGAAGCCTGTGGTGTCCATGACCTGATCTCTCTATCGGCTGGCTATCTTAGCAAGCCTAAAGCAAATCGATAATGTATGGCAGGAGGTATAGGGGCTCTGAGGATGTATATAGGATATACAGGATGTATAGACTGTCTGGCATGGCCTGGGCTGCCCTGCCATTTTCCATAGAGCCCTTGACCACAGAGACCAGCAGCAGTCAGGTCCGCGGGGACAAGGTTTTCTCATGAAACTTATCTACTGCCCTCCCTGATGCGCTCGCACCCTTCTCTATCTAAGCAGTATCTCTCCCTATCACTTGTCTGCCCCTCAAGCCCCTCCTGGCCCCCCAGTGCACCCAACCATCCCCCCCTCAACCCCTAAACCTGAATCTGAAGGCCTGATTGCACAGATTGAAGGCCCTAATTGCACTTCCCTTTCCAAAGCCGCATTCGTTTATCATAAAGGGTGCACATTTCCCCTGCTACAGTTTCCATGGCCAGAGGCCCTGAGGGCCAGCTCAGAAATGGAGGGAATTAATTACATTTTTTTAACTCCCCTTCTTTTAAAGTATGGGAGAGAGTGATGAAACGTCCCGGGGGGGGAACAGGGGGGAGCTGCAGAGATGAGGGTGGAGAGGGAGGCAGCAGGAGGAGGCAAGGGGAGGGCTAACTCTTTCATCCAGGAGGGTCTTTGTGAATTAACCTTGGTCTCCCCAACACATGAGGACCCCTGCCCGCTCTCCCCCATGACAAATGACCTCTGGAAAGGGTAGGAGCAAGGCCGAAGGCTCCTCACACCATGGCTGTTATTGACTTACCCTGAAGTACAAACCCATGCCAGGCCTGTGACTGATTTGGGACAGCAGCAAGGGGAAAGGAGATGGGGAAAGGGAGAGGACAACTGATGAGAGGGAGGGGAAAGGGAAGGCTGTCACTCACCGTGATGGACAGGTAGCAGATTTCCCTCCAGATAAAACCTTACAGATGTGAAGTGGGTATTGATTTTTAGTTAGTGATGATAATGCACCAAGAAGTAATAAATTATAAGAAAGCAAGGTCAGAAAAGAAAAGGTAAAAGGACTTTGCATTCTTGAGAAGGGGATTTCTCCAGATGCCCCAGACTTTCTGAAGTTCAAAAGTTGCCTGGAAAATGAGTTTATTCAGCTGAAACAAGAAATCAGATAATGTGGGCCTGCCGAGGCTGGAGGACTTGTGTAGGTTTATCCGTGTGGGTGGCTGTGTACTGAAGAGGGAATAGAAATCTCCAGTTCGTTTTTGTTACTTCTAACACTTTTGTGTCCTGAGGTGGGGAAGATGGGATACTGTTCTCTGACAAACCTGTGCAAACAGAGTCTCAGAGGAGCCCAGCCCCAAATTGCTCTTGGTGTGCCTGGAAAAGGCAGATATTTCCCACGGTCGGCGTTGCTGAACAGGGGATGGAGACCTTTGGGGCTCCTGGTTCGTGGAGCCCCACAGCCTCTGTCAGGGTTCATCTGCAGCACTTGGCCACTTTACACCCATGGGATCCTTCAGCAGGGATGTGCATCTTGTAGCCACCTTCCAGCATCTCATAGCCATCTTCCAGCACTTCCCCTCTCCGACCTCCACACAGTTATGTATCCCTTCACCACCCTGGTATCGACGTGGTGAAATGTTGGCACCCTTATGTTTCACTATGGATTTCCAGAGGGAAATTCAGCCTGTCTTTTTCAGAAAGGGGTCTTAGGATGGGATGAATTGTCCTTCAGAAGTGTCAGTCTCTCTGTAGAGGGATTCTAGAGGATTAGCAGAGGCTAGAAACTCAACTTCACATGGCTAAGGTTAGTTGAGTTGAGTCCTGGCTTAAGTGACTTGCACAAGCCCTTGTGAGTCAGTAGCAGAGCTGGGATTAGAAATCAGTCCTGATTCTGACTGATTAAAGCCAATTACTGTCTTTAGTAGGATTTGTGCAAGTGTCTTCACCAGTCTCAGCTCTTCTGAATTTGAAGAGTGTGAATCTGGGTTTCATTTACTGATGTTGCTTTACATCTCCCTTTCTTTTTAAAAGGGCCTTAGCGGAAGTGTTAATATGACTTCTGCTTGCTTTAAGAGTCTTTTATTTACTCTGAGTAATATAAAGCAGCTGACTCTTTTGGGGAGATGGCCAGGCGGGAGAGCACTAGAAAACCCTCTGCTCTGTGAGTGGTTCCAGTTGCCCTTTATTTTATAACGTGCAGTTTCTTTTCTGCACTTGCAGGGCTTGGTGGTGCGGGCAGCACATTCGCAGGCAGGGAGCACATCCACAGGCAGGCAGCACTGCCAGACCTGGACAGCTCAGGAAAGGAGAGGCAAAAAGGCCTGGATTTTTTGGAAAGCTGGAGCTTTCCAAAAATAACTCATAATTCAGATGTCTGTGTTTTCACGCTTGCAAGAAGGATGTTTATTGTTTTAAACATCTGATTCTGCTTGTGAATGAAATCCAATAATGGCTCGTGGCTGCTGTATGCGCCAGTGTCCTGGATATCCGTCAGGGCACAGAGGTGGAGGGTCTAACACCTACAGCTAAGGCGATGCTGAAGCAGCCGGCAGGATTGAGGGCCAAAGAAGGAGGATTCGTAGCTGAGCCAGATCAAAGTGCATGACCTGGCTTTAGTGGAAGGTTACAAATAACTTTGCAGCTGGAAAACCTACCTCAGGCTGCACTCCCATGATTTCCCCGCTGCATAAGCCTTGAGGCAGAGAGGTTTACGTTACATCCACACAGAAAAGCATGACAGCCCTATTTTCTTATTAATCCACTCTGTCTTGCATATTTAAATGCAATTTCCTTTCTTCATCCCCCTGTCTTTTTAGTCTTTGGGCTGTCATGGGGCAGGGAGTACCTCGTTCACATTTTGCACAGCGTTATGGCTAAACGACTTCATCATCTAGATACCTTGAGACTTAATCACTGTGATTTAGAAGCTGTGCCTGGAAGGTCTGGAGAGCTGGAGGTAATGTAGGCTCTGTCTGGAGTGCCATCAGCCCTGCGGTGTAGAGACAGCTAAGCTAGGTTTGACTTTTAGGGACCAGTAGCAAACTCGAAGCTCAGTGCAGGCTGAAAACCCTGCAGGAGGAGAGGGTAAATGAACCCTGCCTGAGCTCTGTGCTGCTACCACTGCGCTGCTTTTCCTTTGCTTGTTCAAAGCCCGTTCTTGTGTCGCTGTACTGCACTGCGGACAAACCCAGTGGTCGGGGTTAGATTGATTTTCCAGGCTTTTTAACTAGCCCCCTCCCCAGTACCTCCTTGCCGCCTCCCCCTCCGCAGGGGTCCAGCCACCCCTGCTCCCAAATTCCCCTCCCAGACAAATGCCTGGGAAGGATCTCAGGCCGGCTGAGTCGGGAGGTGGCATCACATCAAGAGAAAACGTCTTTGCAGGACTCCTGAGTCCTTCCGGGGGGAGGAGAAGCTTTAGAAAGCAAAGGCCAGCGAGTAGCTGGTCATTCAGCCTAAGCCCCCGCTCCGGCAGGAAGGTGATGGAGGAGGGGACGGGGAAGGTGTCGGGGTGAGCAGGAAGGGGAGACGCCGCTCTATACAACCCCTCTTGTGTCCTTCCAGAGAATGTATCCTCCGCACAATAGCTCACCAGGCCACTGGTGGGGGATAAAGGACTCATTTTACCACTTGCCAGGCTCCAAATATTTCCAATTTGCCACTTTAATTGATGTCAATAAGGTTATGCTAAATTCGGAGATTTTCAGCCGCTCGGCATCTGAGCACTGGCTAGGCCCCCCGAGGTGACTGGCTGTCCCCTCTCCCCCCGCCTCTCCCCAGCACAAATACGGCGAGGCACGCCTGCGGCGGCTGCGGAGATCAACCGAGAGGCTTCAGGAGTTCCCTTCCTTCCCTCCCTTCTGCAAACTCTTTACACTCTTAACTTGGCAGCCCCCGGGTAATTTTGCTGATTGCAGGAGGCAATTGCATTAAAGCGCTAGCAGGATCAGTGGCCTTGTGTGAAGGCCTGTAGGCAGCAGCTTACCCCAAACTCACCCGCAGGAACAAATGTGGCATTTTTGCTGCAAAAGGAGGAAAAAAAAAGATCGTAAGTTCATCTGTTTCAGGTCTCAAAGCAGGAAGGTTGCTTGTGTGCAAATTTAATTACATTTTCAAGCCACGCACTAGGCTGAAATGAGCTGAACCAGGACCTGTTATCCTTTAGCATTGGAGGGTAAAGAGAACTTTGACATTTCAGTTTCTAAAACTGAATGTGCATTAAAGCCAGCAAGAGTTTGCACCTGGTTTGGTTAGAGACCTTTGCAAACCAAGCCCCACCCAGACTTCCAAAGAAAGGGCCTGCCTTCAGCATCCCTTTTTGAAAATACGAATTTTTGTTCGCTGTCTCACGTGTCTCCTCTTCTGTGAGGGCTGTGTGTAGGAAGGGAGAGGGTGTTAGTTCACAGCAGTGCACGTCAAGCATGTTTGTCCCAGGTTTATTCCTTTCTCCAGTGTTCTGAACAGCTCAGCTAACGTCTGCAGGTCAGCAAAGACAGGCCAAAGATTGTGTGTGAAGGAACTTTGCAGTTATCCCTATCAGAGTCATTCACATAAAGAGATAGACACAGAGGAGCCAACTGTGGGGTCTGTCTGTTGTTATTTGGTCCAAGTAACAGGACCTTCTTTCTCCAGCCTGGCCATACCTGTATTGCTAGTGTATATTATACTGATAGAGCACCACTACATGTAAACTGTTTCTCCCTGATATGCATGAAGGCAGCTGCACACCCCTCCATTTTCTTGCAGACACTGAGGTGTTGTCTCCTGTGTTTCTCCAGGTGATGAGCATCCTGAGCAACCCCAGTGGGGTTCCTCCGCAACCCCAGGCTGACTTCTCCATCTCTCCCCTTCATGGTGGCTTGGACACCACCAACTCCATCTCTGCCAGCTGCAGCCAGCGGAGCGACTCCATCAAGTCTGTGGACAGCCTCCCGACTTCCCAGTCCTACTGTCCTCCCACCTACAGCACCACCAGTTACAGTGTGGACCCAGTGGCTGGCTACCAATATGGCCAGTATGGACAAAGTAAGTGTGCTGATTGTATTCCTCCTGCATAGGGAACAGGAGAAGAGAGGGAGGGGCTGTAAGAAGGTACAGGTATTGTGCTGGGAAGGGATTTGTCCACCTAGAGAGAAAACGGCAATCTGCTCACCAGACACAGATCGAGATTGTTCCACACCACCTCCTCAACACTTGCAATCCAATTCAAAAGTCCCAATTAAAATATTTCAGGTAAAACATTCCTATTAGAAAGGAAGGACAACTTTCAGACCTTTCTCCTTCCCCCTCTGCAATTCTTGCCTCTCCAAAAGCTCTACAACATGTTCACCCTGCTCAACCAAGGGAAAGCTGGGATTTTAATGCCATCCCTTCATGATGCAGAACTGTGTGTGTAGCTTCCTCCCCTGCCCTCTGTAAGGTAAGGGCTGGGTCCATGCTCTGAGATTGTGCTACAACATACGTTAAGCTAATGCCTGTCAACAGGGCTGTGGTTGTGCAAAAGCTAAAGTGAAACTGGAATTGTAATCCTGAACCTAAACCTCAGACCCAAAAGGCCAAGGGACCCTGGGGGGCTCTGTTTCTCCTCCAGAATGGTTGGGTCACAAAAACACCAGCAAGGCTGGCAAAGGGCTCACCTGCCGGTGTTAAACTAATAATAAGTGTGGTGCTGTGAGAGAGTGATCCGCAGAGGGTTAAAGGTGCATCCTCTTCCTCCGGGAGCGCTCCTGCTTGCCCATAGCTTGTCCTCAGTGACCTTTCCTTCCATTTGGCTGTGGCTTTTTATTCCCCTCTCCGTCACAGCCCTTTAATGTCTTTAACTTCTACAGCTAAATGAGAACCGGCTGTGGTGGCAGACGGGATCAATAGCAGCTTCCCCCCACCCCTCCTTTTTTTGTTTTTCGGGAGTTTGATCTGTGACCCCTTGACCTTCCCCTCGCTTCTGGATGTGAGGCTGGACACACGTGCTATTGATAAAAATCTTAAACAAATTCCAATACCATGTATTTCCAATAAAGATTCCCTTGGGCAAGACGTTAGTCACACCCATGTGTGTAAAAAATAAAATAAGGAGGACGAGCTACGTTTTCTGAGAGAGAGAGACCAGCAAAGGAGAAGGAAAGAGAAAGAAAGGTTTGTCCTGGTTTGCTGCAGGAGTTTTTACTTGGGCCTCTGATGAAAAGCTGCTCATGCAGCCCTACTTATGTTGGGGTTTTTGCCACCTTTCCCTGATTTCTGTTGCACAGCTCTCTCTTTACTGCTGGACACCCATTACATTTACAAGTCCAGTTTAGAGCCCACTGGGCTTGGTTCAGAACAAAAGTGTTTTCCTCTTAATAACCATGAGAGTCCAGGCTGCCAGAGTTAGTCCAGACATGTCCCATGCCCAGAGACACACAGGTAGCAAGTCACAGAAATGTTCTTCCTGCTGGGGCACCAAAGGTGGGTGAGAAACCATCACACACCATCCATTAAGCAGCAAATTCTGCATGTGTGCACATATACGTGTAGATATTTGTATTTACAGCTCTGTACAGGCAATATATAAGTCCACTTCACTGTAAACCTTTCTTATAATGAGCCGTATTTGTAGTAATTTCTATGCAAGGAAACAGTTTTCATTGGTAATTAGTCCTGTTAGAGCAATCGCTTACATGAAGTTGACCTTGATATAACGACATTTTTTCTTGTCTCTCTCAGTGCGTGTTGTATTTATCAGATACTTCTAATTCCTCCTGCTTTTTAATTCTTCACTGCTGCTTTTCAAATGCCATTTAAATACCAGTTGGTGTGAGGTGACCTCCACAGGATCATTATTTATTGATCATGTTTCTTCCTTCTATAATGCAGCAAAAAAGTAACAAAACCCTTTCTAGTGAGCACTGATAATAAAAATGGGGGTGTTATGGTGGGGGCAGGCTCTGTACAACAGGGTACATAACCAGGGTTGTAAATAAGAGCTCTGTAGCTTTGATAAGCTTTGGGCCTGGCCTGTAGAGAATCTCTTTCTCCCCACTTCTCATTATTCTCTGTTCTAGAAACACAAAACCAGGCACACTTTCTCTCTCATCTAAGCAAACAAACACCCAGAGTACTTTCAGTATGTTTCTGTTTTTATTTTGGCTTCCACTGTATTAAAGCAACGAACAACATCATTGACTTCTGATATGGGATACCCCTGTGCCTTTGAGGTCTTCTCACTGGCACAAAAAACAATATTGGGAGTTTGGCATGTTTGTTTTTTTTAAAAGGGTGGGTTTGCCATAAAATTTCCATTTTGCTGGGTGCTGCCCAGAGCAGGATGAGCAGTTTTGACCGTTCACCTCCCTCCTTTCCTGTGCACCCATCCGAATTCACTCAGAGCACAGATGACAACAGGAGCAGAGACACAACCACACTCAGCGTGTCTGAGAAGTGAATCTCCTTTTTCCCTACACAAATATGTTTTTTAATGTGATTCCCTGAAATATCAGGGGACCAAGCTGATAAGGTCTGGACCGGAGCCGTAGCATGGAGTCTAATTCTCTGTAGATCCCCCTTGAAGCTAGAGGCACCATAATGCAACGTTTCAGAGCCCAGCGCTTGAGTTGAGCTACTCCAGGTCCCCAGTTCTCAAGGAATGCCAGCCAGTGTGCTAGCTTCACTCACCCAACGCAGCTCCTTTCAGTGTCTGTTGCCTGCAGAAGCCACGTTCACTGACAGGCTTCACTTCGGCCCCGGATAACTCACCCTGTGCCGAGCCCGCTCTCTTCCAGCACGCCAGCCTGCCAGCACTTTCCCTGTGCTGTCCCAGCCGGTGAGGAGCAGAGATGCCAGATTAATGTGGTCCTGGCGGTTCCCAAAGGCCGGAGCTGTGTTAATGATGCCGGTGATGGAACGCAGAAGCGTGAAAGGAATTCTAATAGATATGACAAGTCTAATAAGAATTTGTGTCTGGAAGGGACCTCCTCTGGGGCAGGCGTCTGACAAGACATTGATGGCTGAAATTTGTTTACTCATTGGCACCGATTGTACATCTCCTGCCAGCTCCTTATTAATCTAATTTGAGACATTAAAGCTAGTGGAAGGGAGAGACTTTGACTGAAGCTCAGCTAATAAGCAATGTCACCATCCTGCCCTGGTCGTCTTCCCCCTCAGACCATGGGGCAGTCAGGTGAGCTGGGATACAGATTCACACATCGCTCCAGAGTTGTGGCTGCATTTCTCACCCAGATGGAGAGAAGCAAAGTGGTTTCCCTTAGGAAGGGTGGATGAAGGCAGGCAGCAGAGCTCTCAGAGATGAGTCAGCATGCAGCGGATGGATCAGATTCAAGCCTGGTTCAGACTTGGTGAGGTTCCACTGAAATCTCTGGAAGCACTTACACCAGCATCACTGAGTACAGGAGTTGGCTTTGTCATGGTGAGATGTTACAGGGAGGTGAGGCTGGAAAGCTTATCTCACTGGCTTTCTGCTCAGGCTTGTCTTCAGGCAGCTCCCCTGGAAACACTGTTTGCTGTGGCAGAAGTAGAATTTTAGCTCTTTTCGGTAGTGTCCAAGGAGTGCAGCAGGACCTTCGTGTCTGTGACAGCCACTGCATTGGGCCTCTCTTTGTAAGAGTCAGACTGTGGGGTTTGTTGCTTACATGCCCTTTGATGCCGAATGCCTCATTTCCACTAAATGCTAACACTCATGTTGTGCTCTTTTCTCACCCTCCTGTTTTTTCCCCCTTGTCTTCAGCTGCTGTCGATTATTTGGCCAAGAACGTGAGTCTGTCTACACAGCGTAGGATGAAGCTGGGAGAACATTCAGCCGTTCTGGGCCTCCTACCAGTAGAGACAGGCCAAGCTTACTGAAGAGTCCAACTGTGCCAACAACCCACTCCAGCAACTTGGGACCACTGGAGAAAACACCACCAGCCTTCCAGGGATCTACCTGTACCCGGACCCTACTCCTTCCCAATTCCCTTCCATCTTGCACCAACTTGAGCTGTGAAGGAGACGGGAAGAGGGGGAGGGCTCTCCCAGTACCCAGCTCCTTCCCAGAGCGCTCTTCTCAGAGGCGAGCTTAGCCTCTGTGACCTGACTCCTCCTGTGGCCAGAGACAACGGGTTGGGTACATTTATTAATTCACGCCCTCCCTCTAACTTACCTGGCCATGGCATTTTGCCCACGTTTAAGGACTTTCCATTGATCTAGGTAGTTGGCATAGTCAAAGCCAAATTGATCTTTTTTTCTTTGTAAAAAAAAGAAATGTTTCATTTTGTTTCATTTTCTTTCCATTGCTGTAAATTTGGTGAATGTTGTATAGGAAGGAATAACCAAGCTGATAATTAAGGGCGATATAATTCGGGACCACAGAAGACCTATGGACCAAATATAAGAACTTGTTTAAAAAAAACCCCAACCACAAAACACAAAGACAAACAAAACCAGAAAAACACATATTAAAGTGACAGCAAATTTCCCCACCCCCCTCTACCCTTCTGTTCTCACTGATGGCTTCCCAAAGCAGGGCCAAAGCAGGCCAGGTTGCCACTAAGCAGGGGCAGGATGTAAGTCCGTCCAGCCTGGGACCTTTGAAAAGTGTAAATGTAAATTGCTGCATGAGGGCTGGAGATGATGAGCACAGACACGAGCAACATTTACTTTTCCTCTTAGGGACCAATTTAGACCTGATTACCACTGAAATGCCATGGGCATCTGATAGCAGCAGGAGATGCGAACGCTGGCCTTGCACGCACAGAGGAAGGGCATCAGATGCATCCAATCGCATCGGAGCTTTTGCCCATCCAGTGGAGAAGGGTGAGGACTGTCAAGGGCCTTTCTTTCACCCAGCGGGAGAGAAGCTGGTTGCGAGAGCAAAGAGAGGGAAGAGTCAGAGGTATTTGTTAGCCGCCTGCTTGGAGGGGTCGGGATGCAAAGCTGGGTTCTTCTACAAGTAAAGGGCCACCTGACAGACAATGGTGCTTGTTCTGAAGGTGCTTTCCCAAAGCTGCCTCTCACAGAGGGATGGATGAGGCCATGGAGTCAGAGGGGAGATGACCTGAGGAGGCTTTCTAACAGCAGCTACAAATGAAAGGTGCTCTCAGCTGCGGCATTGCACCTATTTGTACTGCAGGGTGAGATTTACCTTGCCAAGGGCATTTTTTATCCTCTGACTGCCAGGAGAAATGCTTGCCCCTGCCCATCCTCCTGGCTCTTCCCCCACCCCTCTCATTTCCCATACTATTCTGTACAACTCAATCTCTGTGCTTTTCATTTTGGTGGTGGAGCCTTTCTCTCTCTAAGCCAGATCTTGTTCTCTGGATTTATATCCCCACTTTTCTGTAGCAGCCAGTGCGCTCGCTTTTGTATCGGCTCATGATTCTGCTCATTGCACTGCTCAGATAAAAGCAGCCAACAATAAGTCATGACCCACATGGGTTTTAAATAGTTTTTTCCTTTTGCATGTGGTGATGATCCTTGATGATTCTTAAGCAGATGTCTAATATCGTAGACTTTTCCCCCCTCACCTTTCTGTGTTGAGGGTTCACTTAAGGAACATGCTGAAATTTGACCTGGAGAGGGCAAGGAAAGCTCCCCTGGAGATAACCACCCCAATGCACAGCCTCCGTGCCAGCCAGTAGCTGGTGTGTGAAGTCCAATGGCAACAGGCAGTATATAAGTAATCTACAGACTATTAGGGTTTATAAGACACTATTTTATATGTATACTTTAGGATAATTAATATCATCTGCTTTTCTCCACTGGTGATAACAGGGGACCATGTACTTGGATGAGTTCTGTTCTAGCATATGCTCCTAGGTTGTTAAAGGAGACACATTTCTTGTGCTCTCTTCTGTTGCTGCTGCTTCTTCCATTCTTCTTAAATAATCTGATCTTGTTTTTGCAGCTGAAAAAACATTTTTCTGGGGAGCTATCCCCTGCCTTGCCCCAACATCATTTATCATGAACCACCAAACCGCTTCCTCTTAAACCATGTGGACAAGTACCTGTTCTGACCAAAGCAGAGCTTTGCTTCTTAGGTTGCTCAGTGCCCTATCAGAGCCACATATGGCTTTCATCAGCTTTGCTTTACAGCTATGAGAGAGCCAGCTCTACATTCCTAAAAGCATATAAGTACACCAGCTTGGCTACCTTGTCTCTCTCACACTCATGTGCATGTTTCTGTGCGCATCCAGAGCCTGTACTGCTGTCATTTATGCTCCAGAGATCCCAATTCAGCCTCAGCTTGTCCAGCTGTATCACACATCAAGCTTCCCTCTAGTTGTGAAAGACTTTCCTTGAATCACAAAACTTTTGAAGCACTTGAAGCTTGCATTCTTCACATCCTTTCTCAGGGCAATGTATAACACCTGCAGCTGGAGGAATAGGTGAGGCCAAAGGTACCAATTTCCTTGAGGTGACAGAAGAGCCAAAATCACTTGGACCGATGGCATTATCTGAAGCCCTCTCCCTGCTTTGCATCAGTTTGAGATCTTAGGAAGCAACAAAAAATGCTGGTTTGTGTTGTTTACAAATCCCTTTTGAATTCCAGTCGTGGCTTAAATGTCATTTCTAACAGCAGTAACCTTCAGCCACACCTGAACTGGGGGACCGAGGGCAAGGGTGTCCCTGTGTTACACACCGCTGCAGGGGTTGATGACTGAAGCACCTGTTTGTTTTTGCTCAGTATCATTCTGAGACGACTGCTAAAACAACAGAGCACATTATTTTCTTGTGTGCCACGTTTAATAGATTTAAGAGCCCAAATCCCGATAATCACCCAGTCTGGAAGCGCCTCCCAGTCTATATCCTCCTTGCTGCTGGAAGATGGAGTTTGTAGATGGTGGCTGTTGGCTCCGTATCTGCCCCAGACATTTCCAATCCCTTGTTCTTTACACTGAAATTTCTGACCAAATGCATTCCTAGCTGCCTGCTAAACTAGAAGGAAAGTTTCAGTTTGTCATGAGAATTGCTTGTCCGCTGCTCCTGCTCACAAAGACCCGTCAGCTCTCTTCTCCCCACCGTTATCTTATCTATTCTGTGTGCATCCACGTCTCCCGAGCATCCCTCAACAGCGAACGCTTGGTCCTCGCCGTTGAGGAGGACTTTGAACTGAGCTCAGCTCAGGACCCCAAAAGTTAAAAAGTATTAAAAAGAGGGAGCACTGTAGAAACCTGTTTGCCAGTTACCTTCACCAGAAAGTCCGTGAACACCCGGGCACTGCTGTAAATAGAGTTCTTAGAGGATTATGAAAAACGCCCCATGCTAGCGCAAATAGCTATTCTCTGACCTTTCCCTCGTGGTCGCACTTTGTACATTAGTTGGAAATTTGGTCATGTGCTGTATGTTTATAGAAAGTTGACATTTTTTTTATACTAAAAACACAGTGAGTGCCGTGCTAGTTAAAAAAAAAAAAAAAGGGGAGGGTGTAGTTAAAAAAAAAAAAAAAAGGGGAGGGGGGATGAACTGTAGAAATTTGCCTATCGTGTGTTTTCAAAATACATTCCAGAATATTTGGGGTGGGATGGGTTTGATTTGGGGATTTTTTTGGTTTCTTTGTTTTGTTTTAAGGTACGTTCATGTATGAAAGTCCAAGTATTTTTTGTTTTGTTTTGGTTTGGTTTGGTTTTATGGATTGCCAACCTCAGTTCTGCTGAAAAGATACAAACTCGGGGAGGGGGTGGGACGCAGAGTGGGGGACAGAACAGAGGGAGGTACCTTGGAGTCGAAACAAAACCGAGCATGGAAGAGTAGCAATCGGCCATAGGACCCTGAAGAACGTGCGGTCGTGGTTGCTCGAAGCAGACCGAATGGGGACTGAGCAGATACTCAACTCCTGGTGACTCTGAGGGTGCCTGGGAACCCAAAAAATTGTTCTGCACCTCATCCAAACAACCCACCGAGCGAAGGGACGCGCTTCAGAGACGTTCTCTCAGGTCGCCATTTCTTCCATGCCTGCAGACGAGAACTGGCATCCTTGGGGGAAAGGCAAAAAGCCAAGTGGATGTCCTTTACCTCCCCGCACCCCTCCCGCGCCCCTGCCTTCGCCTCTCAGCGCCGTCCTGAGACCACAAAATGGACATTTCCTCACTGTGTCCAGTAACTCAGCAGATTGGCTCCTGTCACTCAGAGACTTTGTGTATTTAATGCTTCTAACCCGTCATCCCTAACACCTCCATATACCCACCCGGGGAATATCTACATAGCACTATAGGACATTCCTTATTCCTAGTAACTGCGGATATGTTGCTTCTGTGTTTGACTCATAGCCATTTTGCTCCATGTGTGTGCCTGCGTGGGAGGATGTGTGCGTGTGTGCCTGCGTGCGTGTGTATATATATAATCGCACCATAATTTATTCAGCTATATGGAGTAGTATAGTAGAAAGATAAACTGGTATTTGCTTTAACTACCTGCTGCCTGTAGGTGTCTCTCTGTAACTCAGGCATAACTGTTATACATTAAAAAAAAAAAAGGATTAAAAGTGGCTTTGGGTGGCTTGTTTGCTTAACTCACTCTGCAGCGTGCCAAGGACAAGGGGAATAGCTGGTAACTCCAAAATAGTCACATGCAGACCCAGACTACAGATGTTTTTTGCTAAAAAGCAAAAGCGTGCGCTTCATTCGTTAATGAAAACGGGGAAAAGCTACATAAATAAATAAAACATTTAATTTCACTGTGACTTTTCACAAGGGAAGAACAATTACCTGGCCTGTTCCAAATACAACCGTTTCTTTATGCATTCATTTTCAGCAGGCTGCTGCACGGGCAGAGGAAGGCAGGCAGCACGGGCTGGGGTGGGACCAGGCTGCCCGTGCTAACTCCGAGCTCCGCAGGCACCTGGCTTTCGTTAAAGGCCAAAGCGCAGCATCAACAAGCGGAAAAATATTTTGAAACACTATGGAGAAATACATAGCTCGGGGCTTCAGCAATCGGTAATAAAGCATTTTGCCTTTAAACAAAGCACTGAATTCAAAAGCTCTTCCCATCTGAAGACATTTTGGCTCTCCGTAGAATAAGTTGATCTTCGTCCAAGTTGTGCTGGACCAATATCCGCACACAGAATCTAGCCTCATTAGCCGCTGGGTGTTTTTAGCTGGTTGCCTCTCAGTAGAGGGATCAGTCCACGGGAGCTAACTGGCTTCCCAAACCCAGATGAGATCACCCTTAGATAAGACACAGCAACTGTGTGAGGAAATGCTGCTCAGGCATTTGTCTTTTCTGAGCCAAAAAGGCCACAATCCGTGAGCTG